ATGACGAGTGGGGCGAAGCGTCCAACAGTCCGTCCATGCGTCCATCCGTCCATCCGTCCATCTGCTTCACACCACTCGTCATCATTCAGCTCGTGAATATGCTGTGGTTTTTCGGCAACTGTCGAAAGTCCGCTCGAAAAGAACTTCTCTGTTTTAGCAGACAAGGTAGTAGGTATGGTGGTGACTACCTGATTTCTGTAGATAGATATCAACTGCAGTATGGTTACCATCTTTAGCATGTTTGAAGAATAAAATCCAGTTGTTTGATGTACAAAAGATGTTTCACCCCAAATGTACATGCTGGTAGTGTAAACCCAGGTCCAAAAAAGCGCTGCTCAACTACAAGTGCACCTACTGAAAAGTTTTGAAGAATGGCATATATAGTGTGATTCTGTATTGGATCTACCCATAGTCGAGCACGTACCTTGCAAAACAGAGTTCCGTGATTGCATCAAAGGCTCTATTGCGCCAGATATACGCTTTCCTCTAGTGGTGACGGGATGCTGAAAGCCGGCAAGCAATGGTAGTCAACATGGCAAAGCGAGAGCGCTAAAATATTGGCCGTTGTTGCGTATAGATATTTAACATGTCCCGCATGTTCAAAAAAGTGTAATCAAACATGCAGGTAATGTGCTTTTCTCGGCCAACAACAGGCTGAGCTGTATTTGTACTTTCGTTCAGACCTGTAAAGATGGCAAACAGGAAAGCACTTTGAGGGTCTACAGGATAAAACAAATAATTAGGTTGTGTCACGTGTACAGAAGATTCGTTACTGAAGCAATCTGACTTCAACATACCGGCTCGTGAATTGAAAGGGGCTCCATTTTCTAATTTGGTCCAGCAATGCAATCAATGCTGTTGGAAGCATTCATTGAAAAGCACAATTTCTCTCTATACTGAAAATAATATTTAATTTGCAAACTAACGGCATCCCTCACTTATTTTACTTCCCTGTTCTTTAAATACAATAACATATACAGGATTAACCTTTCTTAACAGATGATTATGTTACGCAGCTGTTCTGCCTGATATACCTATTGTGACGTATTCTCGGTCGATTGGTAATATTTTCACTGCTTGTTGGTCGAATTTACATCAGGACATTTCCTTTCGAGCATATCCAAAATTCAATGTTAATTGTAGCGTTGTACGATTTTCGTCTGTAGAGTCAACTTTATGTCCGAAATGCGTGATTCGAACAGTATATAATATATTCATGTTTCTGAACAAATGTTGGTTAAAACTTCAGTGTCTGTCCCGTCGACGCTCTGTTTTTTGTCCTTGTAATTTGGTGATGTTCAATGAGTTACTATGCATTCATCTCCTGATTCGCCATTTCGGATTTCATTTCACGATAATTAGGGGATTTCCATAATGCTTTGCGCTCCGGCAACACTGGGCGCGTCCGAAATATTGAGTTGGGCGCGTGTCGAATGGTCCGCTGTCAGCTTCATTAGGAAATAAAGTTGTTGGTGGCATCTACGCGCCGCGCCCTGTAGATGCCAGGCCTGTGCATAGGTCGGCAAATTCACTCATGAGTCGACTCCGTCGGACTCACTGAGACTCAGATCGAGTCGTGAGTCCTGTCTGAGTGAGTCTAGTCCAGTAACATTGTTGTGAGCCTGAGTCCGAGTGAGTAAGGTTGAAGAAAATCTTCGTGAGTGTGAGTCCGAGTGAGTTCAACTCAGAAAAATGCTGGTCAGTCTCTGAGTCGCAGTGAGTCTAAAGCACAATATGTATTTCTTGAGTGAGTCTGAGTGAGTTCCACTTTCATTTCCCAACCTACGGTTCTGTCTAGTAATCTTCGGCATTATTATTAGCGTTATTTCGATTCAGTCTTAATTGTACTCACGTATACTCACTGGTATTCCAAAACCATGTCGTTAATACCTGATTTCAATATTTGTTGATCAGAGGCGTGAAATACGTAAAGGGTCGTCTTGACCCACCCCCCAATTTTTTCAGAGAAGTTATTCATAAATATATCTTATGCTGTCTTATCTCTTCCCAGAAGATTGACTTTACTGATTTGCAAGCACTCCTTACACGTTTTTAAGATAGAATGTCACCAAGAAGAGCACCAATTACGTCAGATATTGCCGTTAAATAACACTGCCACCATGGTCGAAGAAGCTGATTCTAGTCTAACGGACTCATAAGTCGACTTTCTCAGACTCAAATCGAGCCGTAAGTCAGTGTCTGAATAAGCCCGGGTGAGTAGTTGCTGAGATTGAGTCCGAGTGAGTCCGATTGAGGAAACCTTTCATGAGTGTGAGTATGAGTGAGTCCGGTTCAAGAAAATTTTCATTAGTTGGTTTCCGAGTGAGTCCAAAGCTTGAAATATATTTGATGAGTGAGTCCGAGCGCACTCTGCTTCGTAAGATTATGCTACTTGGACAAAAATTTTTTCCGGTCGAGCCATGCATGACAAAAACGGGGGCGTCCAAATAGCCTGATAGCATGATGCAGAGCTATTAGGCCACCAAACTAAAAAGTGCTTCTGATGCACATGCGCGAGAGATGATGTATCTGCTTTAAATACCTTTTTTTGAATAATAAACATTCAGTTGTGAGAGCAAGCGCTGTCCTTGTCAGCGTCTTCTGTCCGTTCGTTTTTGGTGTGCTTCAACAAAATTTTCAATTATAAAACGTGCCTATTTAGCTCAGTGGAGAACACGCTTGACTTCTGAGTGGGGAGCGCTGATTTCAAACTTGCTGTCATCGATACTCAGAGCAATCCACGAGGCAAAGTTATAAAATCCAGCTCAAAGGTTGCATTTGCAAGCAACATTTGGATACCTGGTGCGCGAACGCAGCAACCCGCTATGCTCAGTCCTCCTACGCGTCGTCGAGGCGCGAACATGACGTTTTTTCACAGCTAATAAAATTTTAGGTGTCGTTTAGCCTACTGTAGAGGCAATGTTTTTCGCCTAATGAGCCACTTGAATAATGAAACAAGAGCAGTTGATCACACGCATTAACTGCACACTTCTGCGTACGCAACGTTCCTTTCAGTGCACAATCGCTGTCTATATTGCGCTGTGAACGTAAAGTATCACGCTGAATTGGTATTTCCACGATTTGATTGATTTATATGTGGGCGTTAACATCCCAAAACTACTATATGATTATGAGAGACGCCGTAGTGGAGGGCTCCGGAAATTTAGACCACCTGTGGTTTTTTATAGTGCACCCAAATCTTAGCATATGGGCCTACAACATTTCCGCCTCAATCGGAATTGCAGCCACCACAGCCCAGATTCGATCCCGTGACCTGCGGGTCAGCAGCCGAATACCTTAGCCACTAGACCACCGCGGTGGGCCATTTCCGCGATTTTCAGAAATCCACAGGATTGATTCAGATTAGTACCAAAGCCATTCTCATTTCATCCCTTCTGCGGGAGCCATGCTATTAGCAGATGACCCGCTGAAGCATGAGTGCGTACTTACTACTTATGCCAGTAAGCAAAACCTGTTAGTTGTGAGGCTTTATTAGTAGGAAGGACACAACACAGCACAAAGATGACGTGTGTACACGTTGCACTTGTGATTTTATCACGATAGAAGTTGTGAGGATACTTGATCAGCACTATTGCCCTCGCCATCGGAGTCATCGTTATCCGGGTAAAGCTCATATCAATAGGGTCGACGTGAGTATCGTATATTCTATGTGCGAGGGAAAGCGTTTAAGGGCTGCCGGTGATTCTAGCTCAAGTAGAGATGAAACGCACCGGCCTTTTCCGTCTTGCTAAGGCGCATAGAGGGATTCCGGTGCTGGGGGTCGGGGTGGATGCGTCACTCTGACAGAAACTACGAACTTTGATCAAACGGGCACAGTCGCAGGCCATCGTGCACGCGCTATCTGGCCGGTTATATTCAGACCACTTGTAGCCAGTACGTACTGTTCTGTGACCACTTACTTTTAGTTGAAGGGATAGAAAGCACGAAGGTTGTTTCAATCTCTACGCGGCTATGCGCCCTTACGCCAGTGTTTTGTAGAGATACGCCAAATGAAATGCTGAAGAAGTTAGCTGCTAGACTTACTTTGTGTAATATCTTTCAGTGGTTATCTAGTAATTGTGGTCCATGCCAGTAAACGGTGTACTAGCAGTGATTTCCTAGATAATAGTGGTCGCATATTCCATTAAGAGGGAGAGATCGTTCCAATCCGCTTCGAAGGCAGATGCCGCTAGGCAGATTCGGCGACTGGCCCACGTCTTATACTGATGGAGTGTATTGCAGCATAGGCAAGACATCTACCAAACTTCTTCATTTTAACTGCAACTACGGCCTTCATCAAGCATTCATTTACGCAAAGCCTTTCTTCTCTATCGCTGTTATTTGGAAGTTGTCTTCACGAAGGCATATGCTATGTTATTTGAATGACTGATAGTGTGGCATGTGATACTTGGGACAGCAAAAAAAAAAATGTTGATCACTTGCTATGCCATTGTACTTGATTAGCCTTGGAGTCAAAAGTATTTTGCAACGTGCGGCGATCACTGAAGGAATGGCTGCTTTACTCGCAAGCTATCCTAGTGCACCATCCCTATCATTCGTCGGCTCACAAGGTGGTGAAGGCATGCTTCTGTTTTTTTCAGAGTGACGGGTTTGTTAGAATGTCTTTGACTAGTAGTTTACATTCCAGCATGCGTCAGCGAGTTTTCCTTACATTCCCTTCTCTCTCTCTCATTATTCTATACCCCTTACCCGATTTCTTGTGCAGAGTAGCTAACAAGAAGCTTTTCGGTTTAACCTCCTCGCCTTCTGCCTTCCTGCTTCTATCATTTGACACTGTGACAGTCAGTGCTCCACCCTTGCGGCAATATTGTCACATTTGCTTTTAAAGGAATCAAGACATCCGACCAAAAGTGGTGTTACCATGCTATCAGCGTTTCATGGCTCCCTCGTAACCTGCCCGGCTGCACGCATCAGTGGGTTGTAGGAAGCTGCCTAAAGAAAATTGACATGTTACCTGCATTCAATACAACGTGACTCCATTTTTTAGTCTTTTCCTTTATTGATCACATGGATGACACATCATGTTGAGACAAGGAATATGACAACACTTTTCAACGGTCACTTTATGTAGCGTGAGAGCAATCTTTTTAGAAGCTTTTTTACAAGTTTTTTTTTCTGTGTAATGTGAACGTGACGACGTGCACCATCAGTAATCATGGCCCACCTATGAAGTAACGGAGACGTATTTGCGAAGGTTAGCAGACACATGTATAGAAAGATAGAGCACAGATGACTGAGACAGTTTAATAAAGACACAGTTAGAGTAACAGCTAGTAACGGCTTCACGCGAAAGTGAAGACGCTTAAGCTTTTTGTCGCACCTCTAAGCACACATCCACACCTGCAACTCCTCTATCCTCATAATGCTTACTCGTTGAACCAGAGGCAAAGGCCACGGTGATAGCGAAATCCAATGAACTATATTGCTTGTTGCAGTCATTGTTTTAAATTGGCGTTGCTGCTCCGGTGATAATGAGGTTGGATACCGTTGCAGCGGTCGCGAAACGCTATACCTGCCGCGAAACAATGTGCTGGATGCGGCGTCATGGGTATAGGTGTCCGGTTTTGCGCATAGAAGGCTATACAATCTAGAAGCCGTTGCGCTAATCATTTTGCACGGCGTTGCTTGCATTGGCTCACGTGGCCAAAATTCAGACGATTGAGAGGACGATTGGTCAGGCCACCACAGGAAATGTGTATTGACGAGAACAGGGATAATGTGCATGAACGCAAAACCTTCCAGGTGGGTAATATTTCTTCGAGAGCGACCTGCAGGATTAAGATTTAATTACCAAACTTGACTGCATTGTATGAATGTTGTGGCGGAGCGTTTTTGGTTCATGATCACTAGATGGTGAGAGTGAAGTACTTCAAGAGATATACTTTAAGGGTAAACAAAGTCACTGGGACTCCTTGCTTGTGGTGAAATAGACAAGAGGGCGCAATGACATCTTTAGGAGCAATATGAAGTAACGGAAAGCGCCCTGATACGATGGATGAATGGGCGAACCAAGCTACAGCAAAGTAGCTTAGCGTACACAAGAAAAGAATCACGCAGTACCATTGGGACATTTCACGTATCGATTAAGCCGAAAGATACTATATCTTCGCCAACTATGACGATATTCTCTCAGTATTTTTTCGTAATTCTATATTTAAATAAGTACAACACCCAGATTTAGGCACTGACTAAAAAATAATAAACTGAACGGAAACGCACTAACTATATGTTCGGGTTCACCCCATTATTGTACACTCACCGTCTTGTAGACATGGAGGAAGGAAGGAACTGGGAGGGAGTGTCAACTAAATCCGCTAGCTTTGACAATTAGTGAACTTCCTGGGACGCTGCCCCTTTGGACTAGCGCACGGTGCTTTCTAGGTAGGATGAGACCACCGAAGCTCCCGCAGCAGACGCAACCAAAGCGAGCCGACAAATATAGCACTTGCCTAACACGTAACTAGGGCCTGTTTGCTCCTTCTTTTTTTATGACTTGGCTTCAAGATTGTCGCACGATGACACTTTTGAATCCCTCCCAGAGTTGCATTCCTCTATGTTTTCTTAGATGAGTCAGAGTAAACAAAAATGTAACAGGTCATAACAATCCAACTGCTACTTTCATATCCATGGCAGGTTGAGGACAAATTTCTGTACATTACGAGGATGTACCGTGACAAAGCACCTTAAGCGCACGTATTATAGGCTTTTCGAACGAGCATGACTGTGATGATGATCGTGCCCAGTAATCTCGCACGTGAGGCGACAGGCAGACGAGCGCGCGGTCTTTTCATTTTATTACCCGGATAACACAGCGTGGAGACAGCTGCAAGCAAGAGAGCAGCTGCAAGCAAGAGAACTCATGAAAGACAACAGTCCCTGCACGTACACTCTTAGTGTCTGTCGATGTCTGGGGAGCTCGAGGCTATCCTTATACAACGGTATATACACACACGGATGCCGGACGTCAAACTCGGCGCTGCGAAAACGCCAATACATGCTCTGACTCGCACAAAATATCGTTTTCACGCAGCAAGCCTCGAAGTCGGTAGAGCCCGACATTCCTCGCAGCGTCTCTTTACCACCGAATAGATCGGAATAAGAGACACAAGTCAAACAACACACAGGCACGCATACACGCACATACACACGTGCACCTCCCTTGCTTGGACATAATTGCGCCCGGTGGTCAAGTTCAGGGCTCAAGTTCCGTGTTGAAGCAGGTCGGTGGGGCACGGCCATTTGAGCCACGGCGGGTGGTCGCCTTCCGGGCTGGCGCATTTGCAAATGGGTGCTGCGCAGATCGGGTTCGACATTCACAGATATCACCATCGTCGCGGAGAAAGGGCCACGAAGGAAATAGGGGGCGCCGCTCAGTCTCCTGTTTCTTCTTCCCGATGCACGTGCGCTGATAGGATTTCACTGGTGGTTGACTCTAATTACACCTGCGTGCTCGCTTTGAGCGGCGCGGAATTCTTGAAGCTCAGCCGGAATGAGTGCCGCATGGACACAATGATGGTCGAGTTGTCTTCCTGCTCGTACGAGGCGAAGCGGCTCTTGGGGGACTTGTAGCGATGACCGCCGCAAGTACAGCGAGTGGCGAACTCGCGCTTGAAGCGCTCCTAAGGATACGAAGGAGGGGGTGGTTGGGAATTGTGGCGAGGAAAAGAAAGACAGAAAGAAGTACATTTCAGTGCGGAACTTTGACAATGTCTGGAAAGATACGCAATGAACACTCGCTTGTACGACCATCAGTTTGACGAATATTTAGGAAAACGAAAATTTTATAAAGTTTCCGGCAGTTTTTCCCCTGCATTCTAATGAAAGTTCTTGCAGTAAAAAGTACTTATGAATAGGGAACATTTCGGTTAAACATACTTCATCTGTGCACCCATCTGCAGCGCTCGCGTAGCCGATGCATGCCGCCCGCAAATGGCCCACACATCGGCGGTTCCAACATCGCTTGTGCATGCAGCCCCACCGAGGCAAAGCGGCTAGGAAGGAGACTAAAACTAGCCCCGTGTGATTCAGTACCTGCACAGAGCTATCAGATTTGGATATTGTTTCCTTTGTTTGCCCGAAACCAAAACAAGAGGGCAAGAAAGATATGGCGCTGGCTGAGGCATATTGAAATCCTGCCTCTCTAACTGAGTCTGCAGGATATACTAAAAAGCTGCGAGATGGCACGTCACAGTGGCATCACAAAAAAATGTAAACTTTTTAGACAGCTTTGTCTTTTCTTGCGCTTTAGTGCACCAGTATAAAGGAAAATTACAGAACTCTTTTTTTAAATAACTTACAATGCACACGTTCAGCTTTATTGCTGCTCTACCCAATGCTGTTCCCTAATTCAGTTCGGTGAACCTTCACTTGAGTAAATTATTACCTTGCATTCCTTCAAGTTCACTCAATAAAGAGTTCACCAAATTGTCATAAATTAGCTCTCCCTGCTCCGTCGATTGCATTGAAAGCCGTTTCGTGATATCACAACTGCTATCAACGAGGCACTTACGGTGAGCGAAAAACGTTACTTGAATGATTCAGGACTGATGGCCTAGCAACGTTATTTGGATGAAATTTTCGATTACGTCGTCAGACAATGTGAGGGCACTGCAGTCATAAGTCATTCTTCTGCCGCATCGAAGTACGTGGAAGGAAGTTCTCAATTAGGTATGTTGCCTTGCACTTACGAGGCAAACTACACATAGCTGGACATTGCAATTGGCTCACACATCTATCTATCTATCTATCTATCTATCTATCTATCTATCTATCTATCTATCTATCTATCTATCTATCTATCTATCTATCTATCTATCTATCTATCTATCTATCTATCTATCTATCTATCTATCTATCTATCTATCTATCTATCTATCTATCTATCTATCTATCTATCTATCTATCTTATCTATTTATCTATCTATCTATATATCTATCTATCATCTATCTATCTATCTATCTATCTATCTATCTATCTATGTATCTATCTATCAATCTATCTATCTATCTATCTATTTCAGATCGTTCCATACTAAATGTGCTATTGGGACCTCTCGAACTGGCGACTATAGAGTAGTTGAATTCGTGCAATAGCAAAACTATTGCAAACTAGTGAATAGTCAGACACAAATGTAAAGGCGTAAATAAAAATATCAGTAGACAAGAATTTATCGGCGAAAATAACACTGTTGCGCGAGCCTGGAAAGAAAACGAAGATGGGTGGAGTACTGGCCACTCCAAGCTGGAGCAAGAGGGAAGATGATGACGCTGCAATCATCAACCTGTTGGCCGCTCCGGCGCTTCTCTTCGCGACCAAAATAAACGGTCTCTTCAGCCGTGTATGTCCTTGTCCTCTTTGTGCGTAACAGATTGGTGGAGGTGCAGGGTCAGACAACCCGACGACGGGAGCTTCACTACTAGGACTTCGCCACAGCCAACGCCTTGCCAGATTCCCATCTGCGCCGATTGTAATGGTCAAATATTAGCCATCTAACGCTTCAAGGCCAACTTTAATGGGTTCCGTGCCATACTACCGAGTCCTACCAACCTTAGGAGGGAAATCGGGAGAAGTTTTCGACGCGTGGCTCAACCAGCACAAGCGAGTCGGCAAGACCAACGGCTGGGATGCCACCGCTCACCTCAGCAGTGCGGTCTTTTGCCTTACGGATACTGCGCTCGTGTGGTACGAAAACCACGAGGACACACTTATGACGTGGGACGTTTTTGTTGCGGAGGTGTAAGCGTGTTTCGGCGTCTCGAGCGTCAAAAGGAAGCGGGCTGAGCAGACATTGTCTCAACGCGCGCAGCAGTCAGGTGAGACATGCACCACGTATATAGAGGGTGCTCTGAAGCTCTGCAAGATGGTCGATGCTCAGATGCCAGAGGAAGAAAAATTCGAACATTTGCTGAAAGGCATAGCCGAGGATGTTTATAATTTTCTCATCGGAAAAGGGCACCTGAGCTCGGTGTCCGACATCATTCGGCATTGCCAAACTTTCGAACAGCTCAAAATTCGCAACATGTTTTCAAAATACCTTGGGACAGAAGGTTTTATTTTAGTGGAATCAAACGTCAAAGTTTTGCAGAGTTACTGGTGAGCCACAGCATGCCGTTGGTGTATGTCAAGCTGACGTATTTCTCGGAGGCCTCGTTATCCCAACGGAGTTCGTGATTATTCCATAGTCGACACATGATGTTATTTTGCGTATGGACTTTTTGAGGGTGTGTGGTGCGACTGTCGACTGCCGCACAGGGATGATATTCTTAAGTGACCATGTTCCACCAGAATCTTGGGAAACCCTGTAGATGGTGAGACGACATTGTGTGTCTGTGGCGACACTATCATACCACCGTTATCAACCGTTCGTGTACCTGTTTGTTGCAGCGACAGCAATTCCGCCAACTTTGGTGCCAATGTAGAACCAGTGTACATAAACTGCATGACAAAAGTCTGTTGATCCCACAATGTGCGGTGTCAATCAGACATTGACGCAATGGTTTATGGACTGTCAATTGCTCCACAGAGCCCGTGATTTTTACCAGATGGTCTAAAGTTAGCCTTCGTCAGTGGACAACACGAGGCGTTATTGGTAACCAAGCTTAGAGACGCGCCGGAAAAGCATCTCGTATTCACAGTTTGGAAACGGCTCTTCTGTCAATGGTGAATAAGTCACTAAGCACAAGTGAACGTCGCACATTGGTGAATATACTTTCGAAAACGTCTCTGCATTCGCCTTTGCGCAGAAAGACAAAGCGTCCTTAATCCCGGCTTCTTGGACATGTTACACCATCAACACGGGTTTGGCCAATCCGATTAAACTAAAGATATGCCGTGTTTCGCAATCCAAGAGGCGGAATATTTGTGAGCAGGTGAACGAAATGATTCAAAATGGAGTCATTCAAGTGTCGGCGAGTTCATGGGCAGCTCCAGTGATTCCCGTTAAAAAGAAAAACGAATCCTAGAAATTTTGCGTCGATTATTGCCGATTGAATGCCGTAACGAAAAAAGACGTGTACCCACTTCCACGTATTGATGATGTCAACGACTGTCTACATTCGGTCTCTTACTTTTTCTATGTGGACTTAAGATCAGGCTACTGGCGAATTCCCATGCATCCTGAAAATAAACAAAAGACAACATTTGTAACCCCTGACGGCCTTTTCGAATTCGACGTGATGCCATTTGGACTGTTCAACGCACCAGCGATGCTCGAGCGATTTATGGACATTGTTCTTTGTGGCTTGAAGTGGGACATTTGCATGTGCTATTTCGAAGACGTCGTCATTTTTGACCACACCTTCAGTGAACACACTTCACGTCTGGATACGGTACTGACTTGCATAAGAAACGCTGGCCTTGTTCTTAACTCAAATAAATTGTCACTTCGGAGACAGACAAACCCTTCTTGGACACCTAGTCGATCAGGATGGCATCCGTCCAGATCCCCAGAAGATAGCAGCCGTTGAAGCGTTCAGTGCGCCGTGCTCGGTTATAGAGCTCCGCAGATTTCTTGGGCTTTGCTCCTATTTTCGCCGCTTTATACCTAAACTTGCCGATGTCGCGTATCCACTGACATGTTTTCTATGGAAGAATATTCCCTTCAAGTGTACTCTGAAGTGTGACTCCTCTTTTCGTCAATTGAAGTTCCTCCTGTCGTCGCGGCCTGTTCTTCACTTCAACCCATCAGCTCCAACAGAAGTGTATACGGATGCCAACGGCATAGCGAATGGTGCCGTCCTAGTTCAACGCTACAGTAACCGCCAGCACGTGATCGCATACGCAAGTTGCTTCTTAAGTAGGCCTGAGCAGAATTATACTGTCACAGAACAAGAATGCATCGCGGTAGTATTTGCGATTCAGCGGTTTCGGTCTTACCTATATGGACGCCCATTTGCAGTTGTCACCGACCACCACTCATTGTGTTGGCTCGTCAACCTTCGGGACCCTTGCGGCCTTCTAGCGCACTGGGCCCTTCAGCTCCAAGAGTATAACTTCATAGTCTCGTACAAAAGTGGTCAACGACACGCCGACGCAGATTGCCTTTCGCGCATGCCACTGAGCACTACAGAGTGTGACGCCGATGACCTCGACCACCTCTTAGCTTCTGCGTCACCAAAGTTTCCCAACCTCAGTACTTTTGAAGACGAACAGCGAAAGGACACCAGACAATCATCGCTCTGCACAGCTCCTATAGCATGCCATTTCTGTGTACGCAACGGACTCCTGTGTGAGAACTTTTCCAGCACTAGCGCACGCTTCCTCCTGGTGGTGCCGGAAAGCCTTCAGACAGCAATTTTATGTGCTATGCACGGCGATCTTACATCCGGACATTTAAGTTTTGCGGAGACCCTCTACCGTGCTAAGGAACGCTTTTATTGGCCGGGAATGCGACAGTTCGTTGAGGTGTATGCGGCCCGCTGCACGCAGTGTCAACGCAACGAACGCCAATATTACTGCTCCGACTGGTCTTCTACAGCCCTTGCCACCTCAAAGCACACTTTTACAACAAGTGGGCATTGACCTCTTGGGCGCCATTTTGCAAAGTCAGCTAAGGGCATACGCTGGATAATTGTATGCGTCGATTACCTCACGCGCTATTGCGAGATGGCAGCCATACCA